AAGCATACCTACTCTGCTAGATTTCCCCTTGCTTACCCTAAGGCAATCCAAATCCCAAGAGGTACACTAAGGGAAATCTCTAGCGCCTTCTTCTCTCTCAAGCTAGGCCACGGATACTTTAACGCCTATCTAGAGAGAGTGAAAAAGAGAAACTCAAACCTCTGCGTTTGTGGGAGAGTACAGACACCAGATCACCTTCTCCTATACTGCTGGCACTACAACACAGAAAGGCAAGCGCTAAAAGCAACTCTTCGCGAGAACTACCTAACAATCCAACTACTCCTCCACACTAGCAAAGGCAGAGAGGCGACTTTAGCTTTCATTGCTAAAACTAGAGTAGGGACTAGAGGCTGGCATCTAGGCCAAGAACAAGATAACTAAAAATAAGCGAGAACAGAGAGACACTACCTAAAACTAATAATAACTAACAAACTTTCTTAAGTTACTTTCCTTGGCCCTAAAAGAGCTCGCTGGAAGACAGCCCTGCTGTCTAACATCTCTTCCTGTTTACTAAACTGCTCTTTAGCAACTGGAGTCCGCTTTAAGCGCAGCTAGAAGCGACTAAACCGCAGCACAATAGCAGTACTATACAGAGAACACTCTCACTTTAAACAAATTGTACCTAGAACGGCCTCTGGCCAAAGTCTTACATAGTCACTGACTGCAGATAGACTCTAATGGAATAATAATAATAATAATAATAATAGCTAGGTTACTAGCTTCTACTACTACCGCCACCGCTGCCGCTATACTACCTAGCTACTTACTCTGCTTACCTAGCTATCTACCTCATTTTTCAACTACTACTTACGTATAGCCTTACTTATAAAGGCCTTTTAATAAGCCTTTAAAATAAGTCTTTAAGTACTTATTTTAACTACTTCAACTACTTAGCTATTATATAATATCTTCATTCTTTATACTACTTACCTTTTTACTTAAATTTACTATTAAACTTAAATTGTAAAAAGTATAATAATCATTAAGAGCTTTATTATAGTTAGCTAATATAATTATCATACTACTCTAGCTATAGCTTTTTTAGTAAGTAGCTAAAAGCCTATTTTAGGCTAATTTTTAAGCTATATAGAATACTAAACATTAAGTAATATAGCTAGTTTTTAAGCCTTACTTTTTTTCCATTTTATAACTCTTATTTTAGCTATATAATACTACTAAATTTTTATTAATATATTAGCTATTTTTATATACGAGAACTTACTATAGAATAGCTATATTATAGTAAGTAATAGAAAAGACTACTAATATTTTAGCTGAGCCTACTAATGCAGACCCCTACTAAGTGGTAGGCTAGATAGCCGCTTAGTGGTAGGACGAATAACTTTTGCCCCCACATTACCTTTTTCGCGCGTCGCTGACGCTCGAGCGTGTTGCCGACCCGCTGCCCGACATGGAGGCGCGAGCTCACCCGTCGCCCCCGCCGGCGTCTTCTTCGGCGCCATTCGCTGCGGTGGATTCTGGCATCGATGCGGGCTCGTCGTCCGAGTTCGACCAGGAGAACAGCGGGAACCATGCGCTTGAGGCCCACGACGACACGAGCGAGGCGTCGACGGATGAAGGGTAAATACATGGCCGTCATGGACAAGGCGCTGCATGCGTGGCACGGCTGACAGGGTTCGCAGCTACGCAGATTCCGACGCATCGTCGTTCCTCTCGTCGATCCTATCCGAAGTGCGTCGCGGCGTGGAGATTGAAGGGCGCCTCTACCCCAGCTACGGCAAGCATGAATATGGCATGCCCATAGATGAAAAAGAGCTTGACCGCAACGACCTGCAGCACCACAAGTACACACTGCTCCTCCGCGACCGCCTCTTCGTCGCGCCCATTGCCGAGTCGAGATTCGACCATGGCAACTCGCGCGTGCTCGACCTGGGCACAGGCACGGGCATCTGGGCCATAGACATGGCGGACAAGTACCCCAAGACGGAGGTTCTAGGCGTAGATATTGCAGCGACGCAGCCGGCCTTTGTGCCGCCCAACTGCGTGTTTGAAATCGACGACGTGGAAGACGAGTGGCCCTATCGCCCTGCGCACTTTGACTTTATCCACGGCCGCGACCTCATGACTGCGATTCGCGACTGGCCGCGGCTGATGGCGCAGGCCTACACACACCTGAAGCCGGGCGGGTGGATCCAGCTTGCCAGCACGATACCCGGAGCGCTCTCGGACGACGACAGCATTCCCGAGAACAGCGGCTATCTGGAATCGGCACGCCTCTACTTTGAGATTGCCGAGAAGATGGGGGCGCCGCTCGATGCACCGCGCAGCTGGAGCGCGCAGATGAAGGAAGCAGGCTTCACCAATGTCGAGGACGAAATCTACAAATTGCCCATGGGCACGTGGCCACGGTCCAAGAGGCTGCGCACGGTGGGTAAGCTGGAGCAGATTATGATTCTAGACGGTGGCTTTGAAGCGTACATGCTGCGGGGGTATACACAGGTTCTGGGCGGCAAGGCAGAGGATTTGCAGATTATCCTTGCATTGGCAAAGAGGGAGGTAAGGGATCCGGCGATTCACACATATGTGCAGTTCCACATTACGTATGGGCAGAAGCCTGAGTGAGGAATACATGTGGGGTTATATGTTCAAGTGATGGAATGGGAGGTGTGATAGCTTGCAGGGACCCGCATTACAAGTCGTACATGTGCATTACTGTTACAGGTCGTACATGTGCATTACAAGGCGTACGTGAACATTACTAGTCGTACATGAGAATTACTTACTTTACATGAATATGCAAGGGAGCTTCTTTTTCCACGCCTCAGCATCTCAAGGCTTACCGGGGCATCCTTGCATCGCAGACCGGGGTATGCACAGACGCTGCGCTAGCTCCAGAAGGGACTAGCTCAACCATGTCTCCACCCCACCACCTCTCCCCGCGCTGACGGCAAGCTTCCATGGAGACTCTACACTGCGGCAATGAGATGAATAACCCATCTGATCCATCCAGCCATATCAACCACAGCATCCCCAGGTACGGTATCAAGCTCACTTCGACGCAGGACTGGTTCAATTGGGCCAGCCCCCAAGTCAGCCCCCGCTAACTGCAGCTCCGGCCGGCCTCAGGCAGTATTTCTATGCCATTATCAAGTCAAAATCAAGAGGAGCAATACATCAGTCTCGGAAACAATAGCACCAGAAGAGGCGCAAGCTTCCGAAACCCCCTCAGCCTCGGTCTCACGTTGGAGCTGCTCCGCCGCCAAGTACCACATTCGCGCTCAATTGAGGCAGTTTCACCAGCCTATACCCGATTGAGCCACGTCCATCCAGAGCACCTTGTTGTCGACGACCAGTCTGCCTGACAAAGGGACGTGCATTCTCAGTGTGCCGATTGCGTGAGAGGCAGACACAATGCGGGGCACGTTTCCGTTGACGCTGTCAAGTCTTCTTCTCTCCTTGTCCTCCCTTTCTCCAGTTCTTGCGTCCGAACAACAACCATTTGACTTTGGCGCCATGTCTGCTCCTCAGTACACGCTTCCCCCGCTACCCTATGCATACAATGTCAGTAGTGTCGTTGGCTTCCCAGTACCCCCGCAGGCGTCGTGCTCACTGCGTCACAGGCGTTGGAGCCGCACATTTCGGCCCAGATCATGGAGCTGCACCACAGCAAGCACCACCAGACATACATTACCAACCTGAACGGCCTACTCAAGACACAGGCGGAAGCCGTGTCCACGCTTGACATTACATCACAGGTGTCGATCCAGCAGGGCATCAAGTTCAACGCTGGCGGTCACATCAACCACTCCCTCTTCTGGCAGAACCTCGCTCCAGCCAGCTCCCCAGCAGCCAAGAGCTCTGCTGCGCCCGAGCTCCTCAAGCAGATCAAGGCCACGTGGGGCGACGAAGACAAGTTCAAGGAAGCCTTCAACGCGGCCCTTCTGGGCATCCAGGGCAGCGGCTGGGGCTGGCTCGTCAAGACCGAGGTTGGTAAGGAGCAGCGACTCTCGATTGTGACCACCAAGGACCAGGATCCCATTGTCGCCAAGGGCGAGACTCCCATCTTCGGCGTCGACATGGTATGCTAATGCAGTGCGCCCAATATTTCGGCCGTTGTTGACTGACCATGTGTAGTGGGAGCACGCGTACTACCTCCAGTACCAGAACGGCAAGGCGGCATACGTTCAAAACATCTGGAATGTCATCAACTGGAAGACGGCTGAGGAGCGATACCTTGGCTCTCGCGCCGATGCGTTTAGCGTCCTCAAGGCGTCCATGTAATGATGAAGTTGGATTAGGAGTAGGAGATTCTAGCAATTATCAACGATGAAGATGCGGCATGGAAGACGAGCTCCTGACTTGTTGAAATGTGACTTGGTGTTTGTGCATGATGTGTATGACGCGCCTTGGAGCACCGTGGTGGATGACGGCTCGGCCAAATGAGCATTCGGGTACTCCCGAAACTTGCTCAAAGACACTCATATACTCTCGGCTGATCAAACAGCAGACGCGCAAGCTTCGAATCTTGCCAATTACTGCAGTCGGATATTTATTTATCACTTGCTTTTTGCTCTGCTCTGATCAAAATCATCCTATATTTATCTTCATCTCCATCTCCGACACAGCTCATCGCGTTTAGCCGAAAAAAACATAACACCATCCCTACCACACCTCTCACCATCCGACTTCTCCTCTCTCGCTTACCGGACAGACTTGCACACACTCGGAATGTGCAACGGTACTTCTCAGCGCACAAGTCAAGGCGGTTCCATCGCTGTGCTACACGCACCTCGCCATTCTCACACGCCCCAAAGCCAACCATCACCAGCCGCAAAAGAAATGACACTCTTGTTCAGTAATCCACTGTCGAGAAAAGCGGGCACAAGCGTAGAAGTGCAGGGCTTTGAGGATACTGCACGTGAGAAGGATGAGGTAGGCAGGGGAAAGGAAAAGTGCTGGATCGTTATACAGTACGTCTTTGCTGTCTCTTGTCGAACACGTCCAATGTGACATGATGCTGACGCGGACACTTTCAAGTCGCGACGGGGACTTGTCCTCTAGTACATCTACTCGGGCACTCACATGCGCTTCTACGTCGCCCCAAGCGCATGCAAACGCAATGTACACGTTTCCTCTAGACGCAACAACGCTCCTGGCTGCAAAGGCGGAGAATGGGCCAAGGATAGTACAGTTGCCGCAGAAACTGCATTTGGGCGTCGGAAACGAAGGCATCGTGGGGAGGAGAGTGTCGTTTGTGACGTCTAGCTGCTCGTCCGAGTCTTTGGCCGAGATGAGTGGAGGAGTGGGAATGACGACGCTGGCCGAGGGGATTGTTGGGTGGAACTGATCGAGTTTCTTGCTGGCAGTCTGGTCATCCTGAGGCCATGTGAGGAGGGGGAAGAGAAAGGGGGGTTTGCATGATGCTATGGCGTTTTGGATGGGAATTTCAAGCGAGGGGCTATCTGGGGCGGGGTTTCCCATTTGCCATCATGTCCGGTATGCCTGGAGGGTTGGCATTAGGTGGATAAGTACTCGGGGCGGGGGATACATGTAGAGAGTGGCCGACTACTCACAGCACTTTCGGGAGACTGCTGTTACCCCCCAGCCATGCCAGGCCAAGGCGCTCACTGGCAGTGGTTGGGCGGCGGGATTGCATGTCGTCAGCTGATACTATGGCGCTGGCACTGCTGGCAACGATACATAGCGCCGTTGCAGCAGCTACTCCAAGAAGACGCATGCTGCTTGGTGGTGAGCAATTCCCCTGGCTGGTCTCCATTACTTTCTCCCTTTATATTGCACCACGCCACCCCACTCTTGACAGCCGTCTATCTCGACGCAGTGTTTCCGGCGCCCGCTCCCCGTGCTATCACGACATGATGCATACAGGCTCTTGGCACGGGCATGAATGGGGAAGGTGACAAAACAACACGTGACTTGTTCTAATATGCAGCTAAAGCTGCAACAATAGCAATAGTAACATTGTTATCGCCGCCGCGTAGCACCAATATGCAGGCCCCGCGTGTGCCAAGAGCGGGGGGGGGGATGACGTTGACTTGGCCCAAGGCTTGCGTGCGAACTGAATTACATTCACCGCGCACATGTACCAAAAGAACCCGAGACGAAAAGGAACCAATCAAGAATAAAGCATTCTCTACACGGGCGGCACCATAGCCGGCGGCTCCATCTACGGCGCCCTCGACGACACGCAATATGGGCAGCTCAGCCAGACGGGCGAGCAGATCATTGCGCGGAATCCCTACCTCCTGAACCACACGCAGCTCGCCGTCTCCAACTGGACCACGCGATCCGATGGCTCAACCGGAACCAACGACGCCCTCGCCATGAACATGACGCGCTTCGCCCACGACGCCCTGTGCTCCCCCGACAGCGATATCGCCGGCGCCGTCTACACGCACGGCACAAACTCGCTCGAGGAAACCGCCTTTCTCATGGACAGCCTCGTAAACTGCGGCAAGCCCGTCGTGGGCACCGGAAGCATGCGGCCTTTCACCCACCTTTCCTACGAAGGCGACGCCAACTTCTTCAATGCCGTAATGCTGGCCGCCTCGCCTGCGTCACGGGACCGCGGCGTCATGGTTGCCTTCAACGCGAGGATTATACCCGGGTACTGGGTGACGAAGCTGCATTCTACCAATCCCGATGCGTTTGGTGCGACGGCAGGTGGCGACTTGGGCATCTTCATCAACAGTCTGCCCGTCTTCTTCAACACGCCGAGCCAGCCGCTGTGGAAGCACTACTTTGACATGGCCGCTGTGTCGGCGTACAAGACGTTTCCGGCGCTGCCACACGTCGATATCTTGTATGCTGCCCGCGAGTTCTCGGGCAAACTCGTCCTGGATGCGCATGCGAACGGGGCCCATGGCGTTGTCATTGCGGGCACGGGAAACGGCGGGATTCCAAATGGGCAGGACGAAGTAGCTGAGGCGCTGGAACAGGGACTCCAGATTGTAGTCGGCACAAGAAGTCCGTTTGGGCCAGCGAGTCCCAATCCGAAGCCAAGCTATGCGACGGCAGGCACCGCACCAACTTCGAGTTTTCTGGAAACCGCTAGGAAAGCACGCTATCTAGGAGAACCGACCACGAGGAATCGACTAACAGCACTTTTAACACCTGCAGCTAAGGCGCTAGCGCGCAGTAGGGAGAAGAAGGAGGCCTTCCTTCG